AAAATCAGAAAGAGGAAGTACACTGCAGCCAGTAACTGCGTATGTCCTCTTAAAAGAGAAGAGAAATAAACACATATGGGACAATTCTCCCCAAATTAGACAAAATATGACCATAAATGCCCTTTTCTGAGTCATGTTCTTTTCTATACACAACTCTTGGCCTCCAGGGCATAAAACTTTGGACTTAAACTTTTACTTTACCAGAACTAGACCTAATCTAAATCCTGTCTCATTCACTGCTGAAGTTCTAGTTCAATGAACACATGTGTCGCAGTTTAAAATTAAAAGAGGAAGTAACTCACACCCAAAAACTGTGTGTGTGTCTTCAAACGAAGAAAAGGTGAACATATATGGTGAGTTTTCCTCAATTTACACAAAATATGAGATTAAATATCCTTTTCTAATTCCTGTTCTTCTTTAAACACAATGAATGACCTCCAGGTCATAACCTTTGGACTTTTTTATCGAATTTCCCAGAGGAACCCACCCGAGGGATTAATAAAGTTCTATCTAATCTATAACTCTGATACAAGTCCACGCAGTGCGCCGACTATGGAGAACCTGCAAGTTCATTTTTTTAAAATTCTCCGCACACTTGAAAAACTGTTTCTGTCATTTATCTGCCCAAGAACTTCATCAAATGGACCTCTATGGGTCCAGTAATCTTCAGCACATGTATATCACTGCAGCCCGTGATGATTTAAAAACAGTTTCTTGTCTCAGTGCACCCAGCATTAACTCATTAGGTGGACTGCAGCCGATCCATCAATATCAACACAATTGTGTATCCCCATGTCCACAACTGATTCTTCACTTGTGTCACAGCACATCTAGTAATATCATCAGAATTACTTCAACATGGTAAACATCGATTTTCCTTTAAAATCAATTCCTTCAAATTTAATTTACCATTAAAACTTAAGACCACAAGTGACTCGATTCTCTGAAATCCTGAGTCACTTAGACACCTTGCCCAGTTCTAGGTGCCCTTCTCATCGGACTTCCACATCCAGAATTACTCTATTTACTCACAAATAAGTGTCTCCCAAAATGATCCTCTGATCATAACCCTATTTTTAAACCAAGGTCCCAATTCTTGGTAGATGGTCAATCTCCAGTCCCGCACACCGGCGGCCCCTAATAGAGGTCTCTAATAGGGAGGGGGCCTGCACCCCTGAACTTGACACTTAATAAATGACCAATAACCTATGATCCTGTGTTTTCCTAAACACACATTGGTCTCTTTTCTCTCTTACCATAACATCTCATGTTACTTTTTATCTCAGTACTGTCTTTTTCTCACAGTTTCATTATCCTTTCTTCAAAGCTTCACTTTATTCTTAAGAATTCAGTTTTACCACTACTGAGCCAATTTAATAGTTAAGATCATCAACTCAACGAACAGATAATTTAGAATTCAGCCAATATGCACAAATTTGCTTTTTGAACAGGTTTGTGCCTACCTTTAAATCTCTTTAGACCGGTCTTCTGTTCGCCTCATATCAGATCCAACCTTCGTCCACATTTGTTCTCTTTGTTACACGAAGAACCGGGCGGAAACACCAAATATTAACCCCTATTCTTTTGTCCCCACAATAGAACAGAGAAAACCGACTCATAGTGTGTTAAAAAATTTATATTTCTTTTTATTCAATCATTTTCCGGAAGAGAGAGAGACCCATGCACAGCTAAAGCGCCAGTTGCAAGAGCTCTAACATTTTTAGTTCAACATGTGTCTTATATGGTGTTATTTCTGTACTTCAGACGCCACACACAGTTTCAAACATTGCTTATATGGAAAGTTCCTCTTTTCTGTGTCTTATCTATTAATACGCCTGTGCACTAAAACTTCCTGTTTTTTAGTCTGGCTGAGCACTCAATTTGTGAGTCAAAAGTGGCCTTGCTCTACAAGCCTTCATATTAAAGTACATAAAACTATATAATAGGAAAATAAGGATACTAAGGATATTGATTTCATGACAACGGCCTGGAGTTTGACATGCTCTTTTTAACCACATCGCTGAACAGGTGCAAGTTATGGTCCTCATACGCACACAGTATGGTAATATTACGTTGAAGCACAGTAGATATCACTCCCTAAGGCTCCAGACTACGGTAGCAGCAATGCTCGGACAATCCATCAAGTGGTGCAGCCCCGTAGCTTACCAAAGTCGTACTAAAACATTTTTTGACAGATTGCTGAGCGCCGTGTCCCACATAAAATCATTTCGCGGTCATCAAGCACAACCAGAATTCATACATACGGTGCATTGTCAACTTTTGAGAAAATGAAAGGATTTTAGGATCTTATATCTCGTATAAAAATATATCGATATTTAAAAAAAACAAAAAAAACTCGACATATCGCCCAGCCCTAACTCGATGTGTGCTGCAGTTGTGGATCATCTGGGCCTCTCCCTGGAGGACCAGCCAGCCAGCCGGATGACTGGAGGAGAGCGGCTGTTTGCCTGGGCCAGAAACTGCAGAATGGAATGGTTGGCTTTGACCTGGGCTATCAGAAGAAGGCTCGCGTGATATCACATATTGTTTGCTGTGCAGATTTACCTGCATTTCCTGTTGTGGAATGACAGGCTGTATTGAGTGAGTCACGACACTCACACCGAAGAAACACACACCTAACTGTTGGTGCTGCGATGCCGCCTGGAATATAATTTCCCGGCAGCTCATTATATCCCCATGGCAGGGCATGTGGGATAAAACAAAACTCTGGAGAGAATAACATCCCGATTTTATTGGCCAGACATCCAAGCAGATGTGTTTTCCCCCGTTCTTGGTCATACTTCACTCATTGAGCACCATTCTGCCTGAACATAAAAGGCAAATTGTTCAGAGGGAATTGGCTAAGATGTTAAAGTTGGGAGTAATAGAAGTGTTTCACAGTGTGTGGTGTAGCCCCATAGTTCCTGTGGTAAGGAAGGATGGGTCTATACGGTTCTGTGTTGACTATCGCAAGGTGAACGAAGTGTCACAGCTTGAAGCCTACCCCATGCCCTGGGTTGACGACCTCTTGGGCACTGCCCGCCTTTTCACTACATTGGATTTTACCATGGGCTACTGGCAGATTCTCTTATCTGCAGATTCCAGGGAAAAAATAACTTTCTCCAATCTGTACGGTTTGTACCAATCTGTCACACTTCTGTTCGGGTTGTTTGGAGCCAGAGGTGGGACCAAGTCATTGTTTTGCAAGTCTCAAGTAAGTCTCAAGTCTTTATCCTCAAGTCACAAGTCAAGTCTCAAGTAATGTCAGGCAAGTCAGAGTCGAGTCTCAAGTCACTGGTGTAAAAGTCCGAGTAAAGTCACAAGTCTGAAACTTTGAATTTCAAGTCCTTTCGAGTCTT